CCCCCCCCCCCCCCCTCTCTGTAGAGAGATGTCGCCATCTCTTCCACTTCCCTTCCTCTTCACAGTAGCCGTAGCTCTCACATCTCCAGTAGCCTCCCATTTCTCTTCTTCCACCTCCTCGCCGTTGCCGGAGTCAGCTCCGTCTCTTTCCGACTGGAGATCTGCTCGGGCCACCTACTACGCCGCCTCCAATCCTCGTGATGCGGTCGGCGGAGCATGTGGATATGGCGATTTGGTGAAGGCAGGTTATGGCATGGCGACGGTGGGTCTCAGTGAGGCGCTGTTCGAACGTGGCCAGATCTGTGGTGCTTGCTTTCAGCTCCGATGCGTGGAGGACCTCCGGTGGTGTATTCCTGGCACTTCTATTATTGTCACTGTTACTAATTTCTGTGCACCTAATTATGGCTTCACGGCTGACGGTGGAGGCCGTTGTAATCCTCCTAACAAGCATTTTGTGCTCCCTATTGAAGCGTTTGAGAAGATCGCTATCTGGAAGGCGGGAAACATGCCTGTTCAGTATCGGAGGTATGTGTTCAGTACCTTCTTTCTTGCATTTGCCTTTTCTATCACTTGGTCGATCTGGTTTATTTGATTGAGGATCGAAATTGGTTCAACTGTGAGATCTGTGCTTGCTCTGCTAAGTACTCCAGTTTTTCTCGTTTGTAAACAATTGAAATTGCGTTTATATTTCTTGATCTTGTATGTTTTATTTTTAAATTTCAATGTATAATTCTGCTGGGCTGTAGTATCGGGGAGTTTGTTTGTTTCATGATGCAATGTATGATTCACCCTAAATGTCATAGACTAATGAAGATAGTTATCCTTACTTCTACACCCATAAACTTCCTCTCTTCTAGCCAATGTGGGACATTGTTCATATTTCCGACAGTGGTGATAATAGTCTTCAACTATTTTCCTTCAGAAATAACAAGGGATGATTTTTAGTAACAACTGACATGAACTGTAATGATATTGTGTTTGATAATTTCCTTTAGAAACCTTAAGATGTATGATACTCATGTTGAATGGCCTCTTGGTTTAGAGGCAGGGGTTCTTGTAATGTAAGTACCTCCTTTTTTGTAATAATATTCTAAAAGATGTTCTTATTAGACTTCTCGATTGAGAATGAACTCACAGAAATCAGTTTGTTGGTTCTATATATGTGCTTTGTTTATGCTGACATATTCCATGTGATTGTTCAGTTGGCCTAAGAGTAAGGCAACAAAGATAGAGAAGTTCTTTAGAATCTTTCTTTGTAGACGGATCGAACTGCAAAGGTAGTCATCTAGTGATTTCATATATGGTTTCCCTTTCCTTTAGAAGAGGTGGTTTGGATTCAGGAAATTTAAGAAATAGGATCTTGATTTTAAATGGCTCTGGTGCTTCCTCCAAGAAGAGTAATTATCTTTGGTACTAGACCATCAACAGAAAGAGTGGTGAAGACCCTCTTGTTTGGATATTTCTACTTGGAGAGCTAGCGAAGCAGAAACGCACGGTTTTCTTTTTCCACTATCAACTGCCAGTATCAGATTGTTTCCTTCTCTAATTTTAGGTTTCGTACTGGTAGTTTAGTTAGAATTTTCAAGAACCCTTGGATTGACTGTGATTCGATTGTGCCTAAGCTTCCATGTACTTGGCTCGTTGTAATTCTTAGACAAAATGATGCAAGGCTACTGAAATAGAAGTTGTTGGGGCCTTAAATTTGCAGAGTCCTTAGACATTTGGTGTTGAGTGAGATTCGAGCAAATACACATATCTCGCTGTAGCCCTTGCACAAGAGAGAGTTAATACTAGCAATCAAGTTTAAAAAAGCTACCATTATGCAGATCTCGCTCAAATAGTGCATAAGATTCAAAAGAATGATGATAATTCGAGTCACATTTTTTTGTCCTGCATTGTATATTCGCTGCGGAGCGTTGAGTGTGTCTGATATGAGATTCTCTCTATTTTTCATTGGAGTGAGCCTTTCACTATTTAAGATCTTTTGGACCAGCCTCTTTATGGCCATACGTTTAAAAAGGAAGCTAAAGTTATAAACAAAATTACAAGGTAGTTACATCGGAACTATGACAGGAAAGAAAGAAAAGAAATTTCTCCAGCTTCCTTGGAACTTCTGATGTGGTTCTTGACTTGATGAAATTGGTGGCTTCTTTGCAAAGTTCTTTCTGACAGTACTTTTTTGCTTTGTCCAAAGCCAGAAAATGATTTGTTCAATATTATAGATCACCAGTTAAGGAGGGATCATTTTGTTTTTAGCCAATGAGAGTAGCTTCTTAGTGAATTCCCTCTGTGTGGATATCTCATCTTTTTCCCCATTTTACGCCAAATGATAGTACATTAGAATTGTGAGACTATACTAAATATGGTCCGGTCCACAATTTCAGGCGAGTCTTAACCTTTGTTGATCTGGCTTTTGCAGGATCAAATGTCGAAAGGAGGGGGGCGTTCGATATACGATTTCTGGGTATGGCATCTACCTCTCAGTGTTGATAAGCAACGTTGCAGGCGCCGGAGATGTCAGTGCTGTAAAGATCAAGGGCTCAAGAACTGGTTGGCTTTCGATGGGTCGAAATTGGGGTCAAAACTGGCACATTAACGCCGATTTGAACAATCAGGCCCTGTCCTTTGAAGTCACTAGCAGTGACGGAGTAACAATTACGTCCTACAATGTTGCTCCAAAGAATTGGAACTTCGGACAGACTTTTGAAGGCAAACAATTTGAATCTTGAAATATTTCCACCGTTGAAATTTTGGTCTGTAAAAGTTCTAAATCAGTTTACATTCTCTCCAGTTAGGTATATACAACAAAAGGGTTTCGAGGGTTTTAGCCGAAGGGTAATAGAATTTGATTTGGATTTCTTCATCAAGTGCACAAGAACAGGTCTCCTCTAAATGAGAATTTTGGATAGTTTAGTGTTTGTGAAGGATAAATTAGACCTAGTTAAGGATAGTTTTATATTGTATTCTCCATAATTTAATCCTCACGAGGGGTTTCACTTAGAAATTAGAGGAACTAATTAGGTCAAAATTTCTATCCATTTTTTATGAAATTTGAAAGATGAATTACAAACCTCCCTCTCCAAAGTAATATCTAGAGATGTCCACCTCCTAGGGGTAAGAGGGGTCTGTAACCCTGTCTTTGACCTCGAATGATGGAGGAGCCTTCCCCGTCTCCATCCTCACCTCCGAAGGGTAAGAGGGTGTTAGGAACCCTATAATCCCTATTTTTGACCTCGAGGATGGAGAAGCCTTCCTCGTCTTCATCCTCACCTCCTAAAGGTAAGAGGGGTCAGGAACCCTGTAATCCCGTCTTTGATCTCGAGGATGGAGAAGCCTTCCCTGTCTCCATCCTCACCTCCGAGGGGTTAGAGGGGTTAGAGGGGTCAAGAACAGAAAATGTAATTCTCGTCTTTGACCCCATTTAGTTAACGAGAAGAAATCTCTCTTCATTCTCTCTTCCTTTTTTATTTAAATAAAAATGGTTTACCCTATAATGATAAATTAAAATATATGAAAAGTGAAGTCTTAGGAAATTACTATACTACAAACATTGTGAAACTCAATTATTTGGAAGCATTACACAAATAAAACAAAAGGCCAAGTCATTGTGATCATAATTTCTTTCATTATATATATATACACTTCCTTGTTGGGCCCTCCATTATTTCAATTACTCCAATGTTCTTGTCACAAAGTTTTTGAGTTTTGCTTATTATCAATTTTAGTCCCTATACTTTCATTTCTATCTCAATTTAACCCCTATACTTTCAATTATTTACATTTATTTCTCATCTCTATATAAACATCTTCATCTTCCTCTCAATTTACAAGCATTCAAACTAGAGAGAGAGAGAGAGAGAGAGAGAGAGAGAGAGAGGAGCCTTTTGAAAGAGGGAGAAAAAGGTAAAATGTCCAAAGATGAGATTATAATTTTGGATTGTATCCTCAGTCCATTTTGCATTAGGGTTAAGATTGCTTTGAATGAGAAGGGAGTGAGCTATGAGAGCAAAGAAGAGGACTTGTTTGGTTGGAAAGGTGGCAAAAGTGAGCTATTGCTCAAATCTAACCCTATCCATAAGAAAGTCCCTGTTCTCTTGCATAATGGTAACCCACTTAATGAAAGCTCCAACATTGTCACCTATATTGACGAGACATGGCCTTCTTCTTCCCCTCTTCTTCCATCTTCCCCCTACGAAAGAGCTCGAGCTCGCTTCTGGATCGACTACATCGACAAAAAGGTTCGTGTTCTTCATAATCCAACCATGTATTTCATGTCTTATATTTGAAAAACTTACGATTTTTTGTGCTCGCCAAGGTGTTCGAGACGGGTGGCAAGATTTGGAGGAGCAATGGAGATGAACAAGAGGCAGCCAAGAAGGAGTTCATAGAGATTTTGAAGCAATTGGAGGAAGCTTTAGGGGATAATGATTTCTTTGGAGGAGAAAGGTTTGGGATTGTGGATGTGATTGCTATCCCATTCAGTTGTTGGTTCTATGCTTTTGAGAAAGTTGGGGGCTTCAAAGTGGAAGAACATTGCCCAAAGCTATCAAATTGGGAGAAGAGGTGCTTGTTGAAGGAGAGTGTGGCTAGTGTCATTCCTAGCCCTGACATGGTGTATGGGTTTGTGAGCTCCATGAGGAAGAAGCTTGGGCTTGAATAGAAACATGTTGTCAAAGACAAATTGTTGTTTTCACTTTGAATGGTGGTTTGTTGTTGGTTGGTTTTGTGTGTTTGTGTGAAATAATGAGCTTGAATTGTGAAGCTTTTGATAGATTTGGTGGGGTTGAATTTGTGCATTGTTGTGAACTATGTGAGTTTTATGGCTCATCCTCTCAATTTGGTGTGTTAAATTATATACATCTAATGGCTTTATACCTCACCTAGGTTGGTGACAAGATGCGTAATCACTAGTTCTTATGTTTTTTGGTTGAGCTTACACGTAGAGATATTTGTTTCACTCGTGAGTTCGAGACCCCACCAGGACTTGTCCTGAACGAGGTGAGAAATCTCCATTTGAATGGGAGTGAGAGAGGGAGAGGGAAGAGATTTCTCTCTGTTAGCTAAGAGATAAAATCTCCATGGGAATGAGAGAGAGAGAGAGGGAGGGAGAGAGAGAGATTTCTCTGTGTTAGTTAAATAGAGTCATAAATGAAATCTCCATTTGAACGGGAATGTGAGAGAGGAGAAAATTTTTCCTATTAGGTAAACGGGCCAAAGATGAAATCTCCATTTGAACGGGAATGTGAGAGGGAGAGGGAAGAGATTTCTCACTGTTACCAACATGGGACCAAATACCACGATTAGAAATTAAATAAATAAATACAGAAGCTTATGAAATATTGTCGATTGTCTTACATTATTTATATATATATATATATAGGATTTTTTCCCCTAGAACATTAAAAAAAAAAAAAATGTGGATTAAAATAGGGAGTGAAAATGAGACGGGGAAGCCTTTATCGTCAGCTCCTCTCCTCATAGTCGTCTTTATTTACGAATTTCTGTCCACGATCCTCATTCCTATCTCGTGGACATCCCTATTTACACGTTTCTAGACTTATTTATTAACGTACGTCATAATGAATTAAAATTGTATGGCATAATTGATCGAATTATATTTTATTTAAAAATCTTAAACATAAGAAAAGCATATACAATTTGATCCTTCTTTAAAGAGATTGAATAGAGAGCATAGTTAAGTTTCCCACATCGTAATTCACAAAGATTCATCTTTTTTCCAAAATTATTTAAAAATGGGTTGCAACAATCTTTCCTTTACCCTCTAAGCTTCCTTAATTTAATTCAATATTATGACAAAATAATAATAATAATAATAAATAATAATAAAAAGAAAAAGAAAAGGAGCTGTCACCAGGATTTCTTTCGGTGGCAGCTTCAAGGCGCTTGACATGATTTATTTATTTAATTAATATCTTTTTATTTTTTTGGCTATATAAAATATTCCAAACTTCCTCTCTATACCTTTACATAATAATAATAATAATTATTATTTATAGTAATTAGTTGTTTAATTCTTTGTATTATTAAACATTGAATTTTTACAAATTATTTCACGGGATGATGAGAATTGAAATATACAATGACGAGTTCAAATTTTAAACGATGTGATCAAAATTCTAGTACTGAGTTATGCGGTATAGCTATCACTATCACATTTGATCATTTATGTAGTCGAGATCTATGTGATGGGCAATATCTTTTGAAGTCAATTAATAATATCATTACAGAAACGTTTGAACGATAGATCGTTCATAATTCCATAACGATATAACATTTTTTACTGAAATTTACTTATTCACTTATTCAATTCAAAGATGGATCATATATTCAAATAAAAGATTGATTATGAACGATGAACGAAGAACGGTATTCGAAATAAGAAAAATGTGATATTTGATGTTGGTATCATATAAGTATATTAGTATATTATATTATGAGTTTGGAAACATGAGCAAGTTATGTATATGTAATGCGTAGGTTATGCTCAAACAAAAGATGCCATTTTTGGCACAACGTTTAAATTTTGGAGTCTTCTATTTCTTTTTATTATTTATTATAACATAATTGGTCTTGTTTTCATTCTCACCATCCCTAGGTTATAGGCATAGGGACACAATAGATTCTTTGCCTTCCAAAATATAATTTCTAAACATTTTGTAAACACCACAAAACAACGAATCACGAACGTAGAAGTGCTAGAGTTTAGACAATGCAACAAATAGTAGTATTGGTGTAACAGTTAACAGATTTTGTCCGCTTTGACCCATTACGTATTGTCATTAGCTTCACAGTTTTAAAATGTGTATATGCTAAGGGGAGATTTCCACACCCTAATAAGGAATGCTTCGTTTTCCTTTTCAATAAATGTGAGATCTCACAATTGGTCATTCTTTTCTTTACAACGCTCTTTTCACGAGCATATTCTCTTATGAAGATATGTTTAGAACTTTTAGGTTATAATTTGTTGAAGAAAACAAAATAATATACCAAATATACGAAGTTAGGGACATGAACATAGGAAAAACTTTCGGGTTAAGGGCATTATTAGTAGCCGTAATATGAACATTGTGGCAATTGAAGCAACTGGTTGAATTATTTGTGGTCTAAAGTTCTCTCGAGTGTTTATTGGACCAAATCAATTTGAGATTTTCTTAGTAGATTAATAGTAACATTTATAGGGATCCCTTTATGCTCCATACGAAAACCCGCTATGGCATACACATTCATTTCAAGCTACCTACGTATATCCAATTAACATAATATATCGTCTCTCAACATTTTGATAATAGTTTGATTTGTTGCCTCTAATCTTTCATGCACACTTTTCTTCGTGTATTGGATGATCCATTGCCTTCCTCAATCGCATCACTACACTTATCAACACGCGCTTGTCGCCTTTCGATAGACTGCACACGAGGGTCACAACCTACTATTTTTTAGTATGATTATAATCCAAATCAAAAGTCACAAATGTACTCTTTTTTTCATTTCATGAAGAACACCATCAAAGTCTGATGTAAATTGGATAGATTAATGTCTCCTTTTGTGAGATCCCACATCGGTTGGAGAACAGAACGAAACATTTTTTATAAATGTACTTTTTTTTCAAGCCTACCTAGGAGACGTGTTTTAAAACCATGAGGCTGGCAACAATACATAACGAGCAAAAAATGGATAATATTTGCTAGACGTGGGTTTGAGTTGTAAACACCTTTAACCTAATCGAGAAGTTATTATAGGACATGACACGTACTACATTGAATAGTTTTGTCGTTTATTATTCAACACCCGACTTCTCTCTTTGGATAAGGTGGATGTTTCTTTTTTTACTTATTTTACGTTAAACGCTAAATTTGTCAATTTGAGCATGATTTAAACAATTAAAGTATCGGATCGATAATCTGGTGTATTAGTCAAGAGTTTAAATCCTCGTAATTTTTGTAATAAAAAAAATTCATACATTTAATTATTGCACAAAAGAAATTAAAGAAAAAGAAAAGGAGTTAGATGAAGACATAAAGGGGAAAAGCACAAAAAAGGTTGATTGATGAAATGGAAAAGCATTGATTGGGAGAATTTAGAACATTTCCATTTCCCAACCATAACTAACTTCTCTTTTACACATCATCCTCTTCTGCCACGTGGCTTTTCTTCACGTGGACAAAGCTGGCCCCACATGGCCCCCCATCTTCGCGCCACTCCGCTTTTTCTCTTCCTTCATTTTCTATTCCTCGCCGATCTTTTGCCGCCCATGTTTTTTTATTATTTTAAAATTACGATTTTATCTAATAAATTTAATTCAACTTCTATCAATTAATGTTTTTAATTTTTTTTTTTTGAATTTTATGTATATAATTTTAAACGTTCAAACTTTATGTTAAAAATATATTATTTAAAGTTTAGAAACTAAATAGATGGAAGTGTAACGACCCATATCAAAGATTCAGATAAGGATTTAAATTCATCCCGTACAATATGGTTGTGTTACTTACTCTTCGCTTATTGTGTTGCAAACTAACGAGTTCTTCCAGCATACTTAGTCCTCACTCACATGCATGTTTAGCCGTGAAGTTCTTATGATTGAGTCACTTAAAAGGAAGGTTGTTGGTATATGTGGTGACTTTTAATTCTTTTAAATCTTTCTTGATCATCCTATCTTTAAGATCGCTCTCATTCCAATATACTCTCAATTCATTCATGTATCCCTCATTTATTGGAGAAGTCGAGGAATACCCACTTATTGTGCATGATAATCAACCGGTTTAACTTACTAAAACGTTATAGATTTATGTTATTAATTATTGTTATTAGATATATTAAACTTCCACATGGGTTCTTATGCGTATGATTGACTAAACAAATGGTGTCTCCTCGATTGGTGTGGCCAAGAGTAATAATACAACGTGATCATGTCTTTGCTTTTGCAGTAAAAATAAACCTATTTCAATATTAATTTCACCAACTTTTTTTTTTATTATTATATTTCTAATTAACGTAATCGTCCAACGTAGACATTGTTTGTTTTGAATCGTTACATATAGTCGTTAATCTCACGATTTTAAAACGCGTCTATTAGAAAGAGGTTTCCACACCCTTACAAGAAACGCTTCATTCTCGTCTCCAACAGATGTGGGATCTAAACTGTAAAACTGACGGCGATACGTAACAAACTAAAACTGACAAGGTGTAACTGAATATTTTAAATATACATACATAAATATTATTTTAAAATGACGTCATTATACATGGTTCAACTTTTAGAATTCGCTAATTAGGGTTTTGTTTCTTATTCTCTCTCTCGATGACATTCAGCGTCTAAATTCTTAGCTCGACGCTCCCACATTGTTGGCCATATGTTGCACGTCAATTCAAAGTCTAAACTCGATTCAACCAAGCGATTCAGTTTGAGCCTCAAGTTAACTCTCGATCCCAACCGATAGCCGAAAACCCTAGATTACAGCATATTTAAACCACAACTATAGTTTGGTTGATCAAGATAGGTCGATCAAAACTCGTAGTTAATAATACCTTAACTAGAAGAGAGCCTCTAAATGATAATTGAAAGAAAAGGGAGATATTAGAGTATATGGTCAAAAGAAATGAAAAACAAAAAAAGGTGGCGGTTTTTGGGATAATAAAATGGATCGGGAGAGACAAAGAAAAGGAGAATGTGAAAGAGACAATAGTTGTCCAACAACAGTGGATTAAGTTAAGGTGGTTTGGTTTGGTTTGGTTGTTCCTTGTACAACACAAATCCACGACAAAAAAACAAAACAAAATTAAACTCCATGTGAATCCGAATCCAAGAAAGGAGAAGTAGGAAGCATGGGATA